CTTCCCACCTTCCCTCGTGCATTAAATGCTTATTCGTGGTCAGTGGGTTTGCTGCAATAAACAGAGGCACTACTTCATTAAATGAACCCTGGGACCCTGTTGTCACGTGATGATTCGCCTTTAATGCCTTTGGGCGTGATTTTGCTCGGCCTCGGCCTCGGCCTACACTCGAGGCCGAGATGATCATGCCTTAGCATTTTTCTTTTGTCTTCAGGAAGGCAAAGCACCCTGTTGAAACGCTGCGTTTCAGTTTTACGAGCAAGTGCCAGGGCCGAGAAAAGGGGCTCCTTCGGCCAGCTCATGGTCGTGATTTATTAGGCACAAACACCTTCTTGGTTCTCGGCGGAGGGGCCGCCATAATGGCCGTAGCTTTATTTTTATCTATTTCGATCCCTCGTTGGTGAACCAAGAAACCGAGGAAATTCCCGGCGGTGACGCCGAATGCACATTTCTTGGGGTTCATTTTTAGGGCGTGTGCTCGCATTCGGTCGAAAGCTTGTCGGAGATGTCCTACGTGGTCGGCTTTGGACAGGGATTTTACAACGACGTTGTCAATGTAGACTTCCACGGTCCGGCCTATAAGGTCGTGGAAAATCAGGTTCATAGCTCGTTGGTATGTTGCGCCGGCATTCTTTAGGCCGAACGGCATGACTACCCACTCATAGGTTCCGATTGCTCCTGGACACCTAAATGCCGTTTTGTGGACATCCTCTTCGGCCACGAAAATTTGGTTGTATCCTGCATGGCCGTCAATGAAAGACAGGAGTTCGTGCTTTGCGGCTCCGTCTACCAGGAGGTCCGACATAGGCATGGGGTATTCATCCTTGGGGGTTGCGAGGTTCAGATTTCGGTAATCGGTGTAAACCCTCAAGGCCCCGGTCCTCTTTAAAACTGGTACAATGTTGGCCAACCACTCAACGTACCGGGCCGTTCGGATGAAGCCAGCTTTAAGGAGCCGTTCAATTTCCTCCTTGACCCTAAGCTGGACTTCGGTCGAGAAACGCCTTGGCGGCTGCTAGAAAGGTTTGAACCCCTCCTTGATTCTTAATTCGTGCTCGACCAAACTTCTTGGCAACCCAGGCATCTCATGATAATCCCAAGCAAAATAATCCTTATATTCATGGAGCAAGCCGATAACCTCGGTTGCTAACTTAGGATCCAACAGGTGGCTTACAAAAAGAGGCCGCGGTTCGGCCTCTGACCCTACATTTATTTCTATCAAAGGGTCCTGGACTTCAGGGTAGTCATCCTCCATTTCGGCGGGCGCCGTTTCCAGGTCGTCAACAGTTAATATGTCCGTCTCCTCTGATTCGTGGAGGAATTCGATCAGGTTGATTGGTGAGTTCGGCCGTAAGGATTCCTCTGCCCAATGCTCCAGCAGTCTTTCTAGCAGGTCGGTCACGGCCGCTGCTCCTTCTTCTTTAGTGGCCTTATCTGTCATCTAAAGGCTGGTGAGGTCGATCAATACTTCGCGCGCCGAATCCTGTCGAACATTCTCGGCGCCTAACTCCAGTACCTTCTGGGCGGTCGTTCTGGTTGGTCGGCTGCTTACATCGTGGCCGGTGAGGATAACCCATCCAACGTCGTCGTCGTAAATCCAAGCTTGTACGGCGTTGGCCTCAAAAGGTTTTTCGTCGGCCGGGTGTATAGACACCTTCTAGCCGTCCCAAAAGAATAACAGTTGGAAGAGGGAAGACGGTATACACCCAGATTGGTGGATCCAATCACGGCCGAGCAATATGTTGTAGTCGACGCTGGACTCGACTACGTAGAAGGCCGCGACTCTTGTCTGGTCGGCCACGGTAATCTTTAACGGCAATACGCCGATGGTTTTAGACTTATCACCGACAAAGCTGCTCATGACCACGTCGTTGGGGATGATGTCCTCTTTTGACTTGTCCAGCTTCCTCATCAAGGAATGAGGAAGGATGTTGACCGTTGCCCCGCAGTCAACGAAAACCTTGGATACGGGCACACCCTCTATATGAGCCGAGATGTATAATGGCTTAAGGTGTCGGTATTTGTTCGGCTCGTCTCTAGGTATTACTTCGTTAAATGCCACGACCAATAACTCTTCCTTTGTCTTTGGCCTCTGATCAAGCTGCTCCTCGGCCACATCATCATCCAGGCCGTTGGTCTGCCCTCCTGGGGCCGAAAACTCGGATGGTAGTACCAGGACCATGTTAATGTCGACCTCCCTAGGCTCCTGCAGGTTTCCCCTTCCAGCTTCCTCTTCGGCCACGCAGCCGTCTTTGGCGAGAACTTTTTCCTCGACCATTCCGATGATCCCCTCATATTCTTCATCGGAGATTCCTAAGGTGGGATCGTCTTCGGCCTCATGTCCGAAGAGAGGATCACCGAAACCCTCGATCATAGGCCTTGCGGTCCCCGGGGTATCAGCTGTGGATGCTTTGATCTCAAGGGGGCCCAAGGCCTCGACCTCCTCCTTGAGGGCCCGTTTAGCCTTTGCCAGCGCATCCCTGGCCGCTAAGTAATCATCTAAGCGGCTTACCCGGGCCTTTTCCTCTGTCGTCAAACCAAAAACAGTGTCCGCCGGAGTCACAGTAAAGTACCGGCGGAGATATTCTAAATCGTCCTTGCTGAAAGGGACTTTAGCCTCTGATCCGCCAAGGTCGGATTGGTAGCTTGGCAGACCTCTCGCTCTGGCTTCCCTGTTTGCCTGGTATACGGCCTTAATGGCCGAGTCAGAACTGCTGGTGATGAGGAGCCCTTCTGCATTTGTGTTCTTAAGGGCCAACTCCACGATTTCGCGACTCTCAGGGGTCATGCCGTATAGGTCCGTGGCCGAGTGATCTTTATGGAACTCCATGAGAAAGGACAGACCGTTGGCCGAAAAAAGGGGGTCCCTTCCATGGTAGACGTCGATGATACCCTCATTTGTTCTTTCCAGGGCCGCGGCCTTCGGCCGAGACGAAATGGCCGCCGTTCCACGGGGACTCTCGTCCTGCCTAGGGCGCCATGTTCTTGGAGGCTTGGTACTGGCCGCTTTTGCCGCCGAGGGGACGATTGGAGTGGATGGTGTCCTGTCTGCAGCTGCCATTTTCTTTTGGCGCTTGGAACCTTCGGCCTCGGTTGCCTGCATTCTGGCATGCTGAACTTGTCTCTGCATTCTCCTGAGCTGGGTTTTTGTCAGTGGCTCGGCCCTGCCCCCAGGCCGTGCATGGTACCAGCGGTCATCCCGCATGACCGGTGGTTTGAAAGTTTTTACTGGCCTTGGGGCAACCTCGTTCTTGGGGCCCATCGAGGTACCGTGGGTTTGTGCCCCCAGTCGGTCGAAAACCCCCCTGCTGGCAAGCCGACGGTCGTACTGACCGCTAAACTTCTTCATGGCTGGTTGGGATGGCTCGGGGGCCTTCCTCCTGTTCTCCGGCAGCCTGGGCTGACCGATCTCATGCTTGCAATGGTTGCACAACAATGGCTCTAATTCGGCCAGTGGCCCCTTTCCTTTCGCCGCCCAACAAATTTCCCTATACCCAGTGGAGAGTTGGGCGTCGACCATGTTGACGACGGGTGGAGGGAACGGCTTGGAGTCAACCTGCATGGCCGCCTTCTCTGGAAATTGGAGCTTCTTTTCGTCTATCAACATCTAGATGACATCTCGCAGGACAACGCAGTTGATGGTGTTGTGGGACCAAGAACTGTGGTATTTGCAAAACGTCTTCCCTTTGAGCTCGTCGGGTTTCGGGATTTTATGGTCGAAAGACAATTTGACCTTTTTCTCGACCAGTAGCAGATCGAAGATAGCCTCGGCCCTTGTTAGGTCAAATCGGCCCTTGTTTCCCATGTTGCGAACTTGGCGTCGGGGATTTTTGTGCGGCTATTGTCGGTTTTGACAAGCCCTTTGCAGACGAAGGGTTTGTCTATGCTGACTTCGGCCGAACTCATCTCTACCTCATCGCTCTCGGCCTCTACGGAGCCGTCTGCTTCAGCATAGCTGACGATGGGATTCTTGTAGTAGGTCCCTTTCAAGGCCGTCTTCTTCTGCATCTCCTCTTTTAACAAGGACGCATATCTGTCCACCTTGTTAGTCAAGTCATGCATGTCTCAGAATTCGATTCCCTGGAATTTCTTCCGGTACTCGAATTCCAAACCCTCTTCGGCCATCTTGACAAACTCCCTCTCTGGTAGGTTCGTACGGCACCAGTTCCTACATATTTTGAATCGTTGTAGGTAGTCGCGAGGCGATTCGTCTGATGCCTGGCTCATCCTTGCCAGCTCGGCGACCGTTATTTCTCGGTTGGTTTGATAGAAATGTTCGTGGAATATCCTTTCCATATCAGACCAATCCCTTACTGAGTTTGGCGGAAGGTTTATGAACCATGAAAATGCCGCGCCGGTCAAAGAATGGACAAATAAACAAAGTTTCTGGGCGTCCGAATCGGCCTCTCCACACTGGGCCGTCAAACGGCCTATGTGCTCCATGGAGGAGGTCTGCCCATCCCCGAAGAATAGCATGAATTCTGGCAATTGATAGTTCCGGGGAAGAGGGGTCCGGTCGATTTCTGGCGGGTACGGCCTCGTATATCTTGGCGCATCTGGCCGCCTCTGGGCTAGGCCGTCTTCGATCATCCGCCGGACGTCTTCGATCATCCGCCGGACGTCTTTGATCATCCGCCGGACGTCTTCGAAGCGGAGCCCTTGAGGTGGTGCCTCCTGCTGGGCCGCATACGGCCGCGGGGCCTGTTGCACATCGTTCTGTGGCCTTATCTGCTGGGCCATTTGAACAAGGGGCTCGACCAGAACGACCAAGCTGGCTGACGCCAGATGAGTGCCGTGGGTTTGGCCCAGGTGCGTATACGTTGCCGCTGGATTGGCCGAACCATAGTGGAGGTGAGAACCCAGCGGAAACAACGATGCCTGCGATGGTGGTGCGACGGTCGGACTGCTCTGACCGTACTGTTGTGATGATACAGCGGTCGCAGTGTGCACTGGGCCGAGTGGATGGATCGTAGGATGTGCGAGGATGAGTCTGGATGGCCGCAGTGTGCACTGGGCCGAGTGGATGGATCGCAGGATGTGCGAGGCTGCCGTGCCCTAGTGATACGGCCAAAGCATGGAGTGGTCCGCGCACTGTCTCTGCCGAGTAGGTTGGCCCAGAATTCGCCCATGTGGGCTGGGACTGCCCCACGGCCAAAGCGTGGAGTGGCCCATACGCCGTTTCTGCCGGGTAGGTTGGTCTGGGGCTCGCCCATGTGGGCTGGGACTGCCCCCAGCTATTCGCCGGTGGCAGCGAATGCTGACCGTAACCTGACTCTTGGGTTCGGCCAGAGATGCCGAGGCTGCTGTTTTGCCGTAAGGCTCAATCCTTTCGCGCTCTTGGCCTCTCTGTCCGGCTCTAGGAGGTGTTACGGGCGAGGTCGCCGGCGTCCTCTCCTGGAAAAGCGTCTGCAGTTCCGAGGAAAATCTGTCCATTGCAGCCATAAAGGATGTCTCTATCCTGTAGGCCTGCTTAGACATCAGATCCTCTACCACTGCTTGTTCTTGTATGGACTCGGCCGTGCGATCCGTCGTTACTGGGACGCTGGCCGAGACTCTGACCGCATGTTCGGTCTCGGTGATGGTGATTGGCGAGGTGGACTCAGGAGTCTCAAAAGTCATTTCGACTGCTTTGTTTTTGAGCTTTGCCTGTGCCCTAGTTTCCACCAAAAGTTTTGACAAGAATCCCACCGGGCGTGCCAAAAGTGTCGAGCTACATTCAAAGGGTTAAAACACCAAACCAAAGCCTCCCACGGAGCAACTTATTTTTTCCTGTAATGCACTTTCAATATCTTTACTTGCTTTCCTAGGAGTAGTGTTAGACTGTAAGGAAAATTCATTCATCAATATATCATACGACCCTTGATTTTCAAGGCGCCGGAGCACCATCCCTGTTGTTCGTTCACTCACCCCATATATCATACGACCGTCGCTCCCTGAGCGACGCGCCGGAGCACCGCCCAAAACCCACCACCAACACCATCACTCAACGGCCTTGTAGTTCAGGCCGTGAACCTAACAGCCGAGACTAGTTCCTCTCTCGGCTACAATCGTTTGACTAGAAGACAAGTTCAAACAGGCGCACCACTTATCCATCCTACACTCATCAACATCTCGACGCACGGTAGACCGTGCTAGCACGCCCGCGCACAACTGCACCGCACCCAAAAGCAGGAAGCCGCATGTCAACGCATATCCCCTCGGCCCGAAACTCCAGGCCGTGAGATTTGCGCGGCAGACAGTTAATCTCATATATCATACGACCGTTGCCACCCAACGATGTGCCGAAGCACCACTTGAAAACCACCACCATCAGTTCCTCTCTCGGCCACAATCGTTTGATTGGAAGTCGGACTCAAACAGGCGCATCACTCATCTATCCGTCCAATCAACTCATCCTCAAACGCACGGTAAACCGCGTTGGCACGCCCGCATCCAACCACACCATACCAAAGAAGGACAACCCGTGTTGACGCAGATCCACTCGGCCCGGATCACCAGGCCGTGAGATTCGCGAACCCCAACACATGATAGAAGTGGTGAAAAGAAAATTAACCTATTAATCATGTGATGGTGAAATTATAAACATTGAAGAATATAATAGTTGGGAATTGAAAGTTAAGAACTAGAACTTCATTTCATAATGGTATTTCATCATTAACAAAGTTTAACTAGACATAAAATAAAATAACAATACAAGATAAGAATTAAGAACAAAGAGGAGAAGGAAAAATTGCATCATCGACCCCCTGGATCCTTGCCTCTGGGCTCCCCAGCTGTTAAACTACTATCTATTTTGGTGCCAAAACTCTTACACAAATTCTGCACATCATTCTACTAAAATCTGCTCTCCTTTTATAGAGGAATGAGATCCTCTTGCAGCTGCCATTAACCCATTACGTACCAACATGGGTTATATCATTACATCACCATCTTTTTATTCCTTTTTCTTTTGGCTGACCACAAATACCCATGCTCTCTTCACATGGGTTTGCTGGTTTCTTCTTTTAGCATGGAGGTCTGGCTCTTTATTTGCTGCCAACCCATGTGCTGCTAGTCTTTGTTGTTGGCTAATAAAGTTCTTTTTGCTGCTGCACATGTGTTGCTGGAAAAATAAATTCTTCTGAACCAGGCTTGGTGTAGGAAGGCATGAAGTTTCAATATGTATTCAATAAGGTTCAAATTTGTATATGTCATAATAGACACCCATTGGAACAAATTTCATGAAGAATGCATTCCCATCTGAGTAGCGCAAGTGTATGTTTTGGGCCTTGCAAGATGACTGCCGAAAATGAACTGGAGTTTGGGCTTCATTTCTTTTCTCTCCTTGGGCTGCTGCACAAAAAAGAGCTACCAATTAGAGAATTCAAATGAATTAGCCTTTATTTCAATGAAGTGCAAATGGATTCGTAAAATGCAAAGGAACATTCTAATTGGTGCAAAATTCATTAAAACAAAGTACTAACAAATATAGATTAGGGATAAAAATTGTAATAATTATGTGTTTATCAGTCCGAAGCTAGGAAGGTCCAGCAGAAAGCCGCGAGATACTACATGCAAGGCGACAAGCTCATTCGCAGATCATACTCCGACCCTCATCTCACCTGCATAAAATACCCTCAAACACTTGAGGTCCTCTGCAAACTTCACGATGGCAAGTGTGGCAACCACTCTGGGGCAGGTCACTCGCCCAGAAGGCTCTAAATATAGGCTATTTCTGGCCTACCATGCGCTATGACTCCATTGAGTATGTCAAATGATATGATCGATGCCAACGGTACAAACCGGTTCCTAACCTGCTTGCCGAAATCTACCATCCGCAGAACAATCCGTGGCCTTTCATGCAATGGGCCATCGACTTAGTGGGCCCCATGCCAACGGCACCAGCCAATAAAGAAATAATGATCGTCGCCACTGATTACTTTACTAAATGGATCGAGGCCGAAGTTCTATCCTCTACTAAAGAAGCCAATGTGGAACGATTCATCTGGAGAAACATCATCTGCCGATTTGGCTGCCCACAATCACCAGTTACCTACAATGGCTCACAATTCATCGACAAGAAGATGACTGAGCCCTGCACATTTTTGAAGAAGAGAAGCAACTACTGCAAATTCAAGAATGTGCCACAACAAAAGGCGATTGCCCATAAGTAGCGTCCTTCAAGAGACGTAGGGAGACAACCAGAAGCGTCCTTTAAGAGACGCAGCCCACAAAGAAGCGTCCTCAGGGAGACGCAGGGTGCCCAGGAATTTCCTAAAAGGAGGTCTTCATGCTTTCTGAGGGAGGTATCCAGGTTCCTATCCGTTTTCTAAGGGAGGCAGGATAGTCACATAGTTGCCCATAAAGAGCGTCTTAAGGGAGACGTAGGGCGACGACCAGAAGCGTCCTTCGAGAGACACAACCCGCAAAGAAGCATCCTAAGGGAGATGTAGGGTGCGCTAGGAATTTTCCAAAAGGAGATCTCCATGCTTTCTGAGGGAGGTATCTCGGTTCCTATCCGTTTCCTAAGGGGTGCAGGATAGTCACATAGTTGCCCATAAGGAGCGTCCTAAGGGAGATGCAGGGCGACGACCAGAAGCGTCCTATGGGAGACGCAGCCTGCAAAGAAGCGTCCTCAGGGAGACGCAGGGTGCGCTAGGAATTTCCTAAGGGAGGTCTCCATGCTTCCTGAGAGAGGTATCCAGGTTCCTATCCGTTTCCTAAGGGGGCTAGGATAGTCACGCAGTTGCCCATAAGAGTGTCCTTCGGGAGACGCAGGGCAATGACCAAAACATCCTACGGGATGCGCAAAACACGCCCGGAGTCCCTCAAGGGGGACCCTGGCACTTGTCAACTTCCTAAGGGAAAACATCCTATGAGATATGTAGAACATGCCCGGAGTCCCTCAAGGGGGACCCTGGCACTTGTCTATTTCCTAAGGGAAAACATCCTACGGGATATGCAGAACGTGCCCGGAGTCCCTCAAGGGGGACCCTGACACTTATAAATTTCCTAAGGGAGACACACAATCAAGATACTGGCTGGTTACTCAAGCAGTTCACAAGTCGATACGCAAATTGAAGTTGAAAAAATAACTACAATTTCCATAGCAAGCTGACCAACCGGCCAAGTTCAACAAAAAGAAGATGGTCAGGCAAGACCAATTGTTCTAAACAAGAAAGCAGACTACAAGGTGAAAAGAAATAAATGAGCCTTCATTTACTCTGATACGCCAACAGGAGATCCTTGATCTACAACCTCTTCGGCGTCCGCCTAATCAGCCACATTCTCAGTAGCTCCACTTGCTTGATCCACGACATTTGCCACTACCTCATATGCTGCATCCTCCTCTGCTTCATCCTCTTCAGCTATCGCCTCTTCGGCCGCATGTTGTTCAGCTCCTTCCATGTTAACAGCATTAACCTGCTCACTTTGCACATGGAGCAAGTCAGAACAGAGCATCTCGATGTCTCCATCTCTAATGGCATAGAAGGGATCATTTCCATTTGAACAGTCTAAGTAGCCTAACTTGTACGCATTCATTGTCGCTTCGAACTTGGACATTTCAGCAGACTTATGATATGCGCCAAATCTAGCCAGAAGCTTGTCATAACTAAAGGAGACATCAACATTCTTGTGCTCAAGACGGAAGTAGGCATCTTTTCGACTAACCAAGTTAGGGGCAACAACAAACGAGTTTCGGATAGTTTCAGCAACAAGAACTACTCCTTTTAGAAGCAGATGAAATATTGCTTCCTTTT